GGGCGGGGGTGGGATGGGGCGGAGCCGTGGGATGGAGCAGGCCGCATAGATGGAGAGTGGGCGGGTGGTGTGGAGGTGGAGGGGAGAGGACCTACAGGTCGGGGTGGGGACGGGGCAGTGCGAGGGACGGGCGTGGGGCCTCGTGTGAGGCGGGCCTTCTCTGCGGGTGAGCATCGCGCTGCCTGCGACAGCCGCAGATGGCGCAGTGGTGGAGATGAGACACAGACAGGTGGACACCCGGGCTAGATGGCTGCGCGGGCGACAGGACGAGTGGACAGGAGACCGTGGTGATGGGTGGGGCACAGCAGGACAAGGAGGTTTCCACTGTGTCCCCGCAGCCCCAATGAGGCCCTCGCTGCCTCACCCTAGTGGGTAATGGCGTGTTTCTGTGACCCTGTAGGGAGAAGCGCATCTCCTTGTCTACAGGTGACATCTCTAAGCTCTCCCCGTCTAAGGCACAGGTAAAAATCAGCTCTGGCCTGAGTCCTCATGGTTCAGGCTGCTCCAGCTCTGCCCAAAGGGACAATTAACAGAAGCGGAGTAGCTGGGTGTGATCACAGCTGTTAGGAAGGCTGAGGCAGGAGAATCTCAAGTTTGAGCCCAGCCTGATCAGTTGAGCAAGATTCGTTTCTCACTGAGGTGCGCTCAGTAGTGACTGATTGCCCACCGGGTGTGAGGCCCTGGGCCCCATCCCCCTGCCAACAGGAGAGACAGAGGTTTGAGTGGAGTACACAGCAGGGGCCCCACTGTCCCCAGTGGAGGTGGCCTGCCCCTCAGCCAGCCCTCTGCATCCCCACAGCCTTCCTTAGAAACTGACGCAGAGCCCAGCACCAAGAAGCCAACCGTGCACAAGAAGAAGTCGGGTGATGCCGCCTCTGGCCCAGACGCAGGGCTGTCGCCGGGCTCCCAGGCCGACTCTAAGTAAGGGGCTTGGGCACTGGGGCCACCAAAGGATGCCCAGGGTCCCTGCTGAGGCCACAAGGCAGCCTGGTCTTCTAAACTGGCCATGATCGGGCAGAAGGGCCCACAGTAGAGATTCCGGCAGGAGGGACTGCTGGGCAGCTCTGCCGAGGACCGTTTGGCTCAGTTCCCCAAGGCAAGAGCAAGTACCAGGAAGCAGAGGGCAGAAACAGCCAGAAAGAAGGGCGGCACTCACCCCGCAGGGCACAGCTCCCAGCAGCCTCTGCTGCTCATCAGTCTAAGGGCCACATCCTTGTGACTCAGACACCCCTGGACCCCCCTCTACCCACCGCCACTTTGGGGTTCCACGCCTCAGTGCATGAGTTGGGGGCCTTTCCCATCCAGATCATAGCAGAGGCCCTGGAAGGGCAGCAGCAGGGTGCCGCCTCACTCAGGCAGTGTCTGTTCTCTTCTAACCCTTTTCCCTACAAGGGAGGAGAGAGTAATTTATTACTTTTAATGTGAAAATAGAATCTCAGCCAGGGGTGGTAGCACTTACCTGTAATCTCAGCTATTCAGGCGTCTGGGGCAAGCAGATTTCAAGTTCAAGCCCAGCGTAGGCAACTTAGACTTTCTCAAAAGCTATTTCTTTTTGTAAGATGACCCTTTTCAGTCAGGCAATTAATGAGTGTTGCGTGCTTGATCAGGGGAGCCTAAGCCTTACGTCCACTTTCACTTCCCAGGGCTTCAAAGAAACTACTCAGAGAGCCAGGCATGGTAACAAATACCTTCAATTCCAGCTCGTTGGCAGACTGAGGCAGGAGGATCACAGCATATTGACTTAGCAAGACCTTGTCTCAAAACAAAATTTTAAAAGCGTCTGGGGATATAGCTTGGTGCTCCTGGGCTCAATCCCCTGTACTGAAAAAAAGAAAAGAAACCACTTTTCTGCCAGGCATGGTGGTGCCTGCCAGTGATCACAGCACTCGGGAGGCTGAGGCAGGAGGGTTCCCACAGTTTTAGGTTTACCAGGACTACATAGTGAGACCTTCTCTCAGAAAAACCAAATAAATAAATAAATAAATGAAACCTCTTCCTATGTCCTGCAGATCTACTTTTAAGAGACTTTTCCTACCTAAGACCAAGGATAAGAAGTACAGCCAGGAGGGCGTGGAAGAGACGGAGAACGCAGGGTCTGGGCACATTGCGCTGGAAGCCACCACTGTGAAGAGGAATCTGGAAGGTTGGTCCCTGGCACTCCCTGGCAGTGGCAATTGGCTGTGCCCGAGCAGGGTCTGGGCTGTGTGGGCTTGGGGCCGGGGGGTGGTGGCCGAGGACTGCAGCCTGCGACCTGGGGTCCAGTTCCGCATGCCACGGGATCCCGGCACAGTCCCACGCCCTCACTCACGGCTCCCGTTCCCCCAAAGCCCCGTTCGGCCACCAGCCACGCCATGCGGCCAGCGAGAAGCATACGAAGGATGCGGGTGGCAAAGGGAAGAAGAACCGCAACCTCAAGATCGGCAAGATCACGGTGACGGAGAAGTGGCGGGAGTCGGTGTTTCGCAAGATCACCAACGCCAATGAGCTCAAGTACCTGGACGAGTTCCTGCTCAACAAGGTGGGCCGGTCCTGGCGGGCGGGTGGATCGAGAGCTGGCCTCCCAGACCTGGGCCAGGGGAGGAGCTTTCTGGGGCTTCCAGCCCAGCACCTGGGAAAGAAGAACCCTGTCTTCTGGCTATTTGGAAGTTACACAATACTTTGTCCTTAACTGTATCCACACTTACTGTGTAATGGGAATGCCAGAAGTTACTCCTGTCTGGCTGGCTGCAGTGGTAGTGCTGCACACCTGCAATCGCAGCACTTGGGAGGCTGAGGCGGGAGGATTTCGCTCAAGCCCAGCCTGGGCAACTTAGCAAGACACTCTCTCAGAAAACAATTTACTCCTACCGAAACTTTGCACTCCTTGACTGACCTGCCCACCGCCAGCCCCGCTCCTGCGGACCTGGGCAGTGTTGGGAGGTTGTTCCCGGTGCAGCTGGGGGGGCACCGCCTGTCTGACACTGTGTCAGCAGCTCAGCCTTTGTTCCTGAGGCAAGGGGACTCGGGGAGAGCCTGTGGGCAGCGCCCCTCTCCTTGCAGATAAATGACCTGCGCTCCCAGAAGACACCCGTCGAGAGCCTGTTCATTGAGGCCACTGAGAGGTTCCGCAGCAACATCAAGACCATGTACTCTGTCCCGGTGCGTAGAGACCCGGCTCCCCATGCCCTCTGAGGCCCCTTCCCATCTTCAAAGCCCCCGAGTGACACCATGCATTCCTGTAGAACGGAAAGATCCATGTCGGCTACAAAGACCTGATGGAAAACTACCAGATCATCGTTAACAACCTGGCCAGTGAGCCCGGCGAGGACACCAACCTGGTCCTCAACCTCTTCCAGTCGCTGCTGGATGAGTTCACCCGTCGCAGCTCCAAGAACGACTTTGAGCCTGTGAAGGTGTGTGGCTCCACCCCATTCGGATGACCCCGCCCACAACTGGACACGCCCACCTCCGGTCACATCTAGGGCAGCCTCGCCCTCCTCCCTGGCCCTACTTCACTCCCCGCTCCCCTTTCTGGGTTGGTTGGAAGGTGGGTGTGGACTTAAAGGCCCTTAGTGCTCTCCCCAAGCGTCCGGGAGATGGGTGTCCCTGGGCCAGCCAGGCATCCCCACAGGACCATTTGTCTCTCAGCCCAGCAAAGCTCAGAAGAAGAAGCGGAAGCAGGAACGAGCCGTGAGTACGCGTGCGTGCGTGCGTGTGTGCGCCCCTGTGGGTGTGCCTGCCCCAGCCTGCTGAGCCCTGCGCCCTCCCACAGGTGCAGGAGCACAATGGCCATGTGTTCGCCAGCTACCAGGTCAGCATCCCGCAGTCTTGCGAGCACTGCCTCTCCTACATCTGGCTCATGGACAAGGCCCTGCTCTGCAGCGGTGAGGACCGCCCCCACGCATGTGGACCCGCTGCTGGGGAGGCTGAGGCGGAGGACTGCAGATGAGGGCCAGCCTGGCCTTAGTGAGGCCCCAGATCTTGCCTAGCGGTGCAGAGTACATAATGAAAGGCAGCTGGGACCCGGCTGCCGGGGTGGTGGCCCCAGGGGCCTGTGACTGAGCCCTGTCCTGCGTGTGGCCCCTAGTGTGCAAGATGACCTGCCACAAGAAGTGCGTGCACAAGATCCAGAGCTACTGCTCCTACCTCAGCGGGCGGAAGGTGAGCCCTCGCCCCGCTCCACTCGCCGTCCTCCTGGGGCTCCGACAGCCCCCAGGGTGCAGCTGCCCCGGGAGGGCCCTGCCCACTATCGCGCTGACCACCGGAGGGGACGCGGGGC